TGAAACATGTCACAAAAATATGAAGTTCCTGATTATGTACCAGATTCCCTCAAAGTAAAAAAGATAAAACAATAAACAGTTGTATTCAACAAGTACTGGAAAATTAGCCTTTTCTAAATATAAGATTCAAATGGGCTATTGAGAGTATACTTAAAAATTAGCTACTATATATAGTGCAGTAATTTACAGTATCAGTATTGGTTTAAACCCACTCTGCAACTTTGTTCAATAACTGGTGATGCTGCCATTGTGCAGCCAAGTGTCTGACAAGCAGAACAAGCTGATGCTTTGTGTTTCTATTTGTGCAAACCATATATTATAAATAGACAGTTGGATACATTCATTTTTTTAAGGAAGGTGGAGTGATTTCCAGTCAAAATCCGCATGAGATGATCAAGATCAAGAAGCTGTAAGGGACACAAATGGAATTATCCCACCTCCCTGCAGAAAATTGGGTTTTAAGATGAAATGACTTGTAAAGGTGTAGAGACAGGTATTTTTTTGCAGTGTGAGAATATAATGTAAATCAGCTGAAGTCAGGAGAAACGGACCTTCAGCAGGTAAAGCCGTCTGTTTGCTGCCGGTGTATTGATCTTAGAATACCATTAAACAATTTCTTTAAGGATTCCACTACATCAGCAGTAAAGCTACCGCACCTTCCTCTGCCCTTGCTGGCCTTGTACAGGCCCCTCACTGGTCCTGCCATCCCTGTAAGGATTTTTTTTTTGACTTGCCACTCCCTTCATAGCTGTTCTAACAGAGAAATAACATCTTGTTAATTATGATATTAAATTGCGGTGTTACCTTTGGCTGTAAAGACAAGTTGGCTTGAGAATCAGAAGCACAGTCAACACTAGCTGTATGCCAAAGCCTGGCTTCCAGGATCGATCTCTCAAATGCTACACTAGCTGCGCCAGAGAAATTAATGACACTCGTACTAAGATTTCTTCTGATCAATTGGAATTTTATGCACACATTTCAAGTGGCTCACAGCTAAGACATCATCTGGCACACAGAGCTGGATTTCTGGTTTCTGGGGGAGAGTTGTTTTGTGTATTTGTGTATAACTTGGTGGCAATGGAAGGAGAGTCTAAAACAAGATTTCTCAGTCTAATTAACGCCTCATCAACAGCAACCAACATGTTTCTACACAGATTTCCCAGCAGCCCTGTTTTTATTTGAAACACTGAGAAATGAGCAACTCAGCATGTGTGCTCAAAGGCTTATGGGAAATGTGAGTAGAGCATATGTGTGCGTTAGTGTGTGTGTCTTATCAGTCATCTTGGTCAAATCTGCATTCTGACACACTATCGGGAGGATTTGTGGCTCATAGCTGATGGGCAGCTATGCTACCTTCTGCATCATGTCGCCGAGATGCCCTAACCACATTTCAAATACTGCACACTTCGCAACTCTGCATTTCGTAAAAGCGCAGAATCAGATTTGAGAGCTTTCTTTGGGGGCTCAGTGAAAAGCCCACCACATGAGTCACAGCAAAGAGGTATCACATCAGAATAAGAGTAGGGGAGAGGTAGGGAGAGAAAGAACAGATACACACTAAGGCGTGTGAGAGAGGAGATGAGAGAGGCTGTGAAATGGCAAGGGATGAGAAGGGATTAAATTCTTTAGCTGGGGAGGTGGGCAAGAAAATAAAGAAAGAAAGTCAGAAGAAGGAGAAGCAGAGATACTCACAGAAAGTCAGCTGAGAAAAAGCAGACAGAAATGTGTGCAGTTCATGCAGAGTCCAAAGGTAAAGCACGATGAGCTAAGGTGGAGGATAATCAAACTAAGCAGCAGCAGCAGTGGAGTCAATGTCTCCAGCCTGCAATGTGTAATCTTACATATCCCATGGGATTTAGAAACATCTGAACTCACCGTCAAAGATGTATAATTTATTTCTCTTTGTTTGCATTTCATTATTAATTACTTTTTTATAGCAGCAGCTTCTTCGTTCATCTGTCTGCAACACAAACAAGTGAAAAATTGTTGCTTTCATTCTGCAACCACAAGTCTTAGCAGATGGGTATTATCTTCTGTCCCCGTGAGCCTCTATAATACACATTAGTGATTCATGTTCTTCTTAGTGTGTGATTGCATTTCAGTGTGGGTAGATGTAAATTAATATCTATGTACCATTGCCTCTGTCTCTTCCATTTTTCTAAGCACTCTACTGTACCTCCTTTATGGGTAGTCCAATAGGCTGGCCAGCGCCTCTGTGTCCGATTAAGACTTGTCAGCCATTGATTTTTATTGGCCGCGTAATGGTGCAGAACCTAAACATTTATCATGGTCGATGGGCTGTGTGTAGTACAAGCTATTAGGGAATGAGAGAAGGAGAGTGGATGTAGAAAGTTAGAACAAGCAGTATGTGTCAGAATGAACTGTCATCTCTGGAGGGAAATAAAGATGTCACGAGCAGGAAATTGTTTAGTGTTCATCTTTGCTGCAGTGTAGTCTGTCTGCTTTCTGTTAAATACAAACTCATTTACCAGAGGAAGCTGGCGCAGTATGGAGAAATGCTGAAGTATTCCAGAGATTGTGGTTTACAAATGCTGTTTCGAACAACAGGAAAAAAAGTGCAGAACAGAGAGAGTATAATCAGTAAAATGCAAACAAGGAAGGTTATCTGGTCTCATTCTGATTGTTTCACCCCAGCTAACTCTTTCTTAACCCAACCTACCTGGCTAAAACGAGGAGGAATACATTTGTTTTGGGGTTTGAATGCACTGTGTCCTCACACAGGCGCTGGCTGTCCCACTGTGAGCCTCTGGTTGACAAATCTGTGTATAATCCACTAATGTTCTTAATCCTGGGGTCACATTAAAAAATGGATGAGAAATTAATCTGCTGTCAGGTTTGTCAGGTATATTTTTTCAATGCCAGCACTTATTTTCAGCCAAATCCTTCTGTATGGGCCAATACGGCCCCGCAGCCAAATCCCTCTGTACGGGCTCTGTCAAATTCTCTCTGTCCTTTTGTCCTTGCACCGTGACGGTTTCATTAAATTGGAGAAGTTTAAAGACAAAACACCCAAAGCACAGATCACATATGAAAGTTTGTTCCTCTTTGAACGACAAACTCTAAAACAGGGCGGTAAGGAGGAAGAGAAACTTTTGTGGCTGGAGACAGAGAAAACTACTTTATAGCCGGAACAGAATTGATTGTCTTGCTCCTGTGACGAACAGAAACTTCAAAACTTGATCATACTGCGCAAACGCCTTACTGTCTCCTCCCCCACATGGTTGCAGACATAAAGTGCATTTTGTTTCTATGTCTGTCATATGTGCCTGTGCCATGCTATAGCACATGAATACATGCTGCTGTAACCTAGCTAATTTTATTGCTTCTGGCTGAGTGGATCAAAACAAGCTGCATGCAGTGTTTTTATTTCTCATTTTAAAATGAGGAATAGTTCATCTACATTTTGTATTAAGTTTATGCAATGATTATTATTAAAGGTCTTTTTTTATTGTGCCTATGATAGTTTCAGCACTTTACGCTACTGTTCCAAATGTGTGAAATAGTTTCACACACAATTGTGGCTTGAGGTTTGAGGTATTGTGACCTAAACAAAAGTCCTGTGCTGCTAGACACAATTTAAATTCTGCTGTTTTTGAACTACTTTGAACCTGCTTCGGTTAGACGAAACCTGTGACTTCGCTATCCTGTACAGCAGTGGAAAAACAGAAATCAATTCATATGTGGTGCAGGGAGCTTTTGCTGAAATGGAACAACCTGCCTGCCTGAAGAATATTAGATTACATTTTACTCACTTAAGACCAAACTTTCTTTTTAGTGCCTACATGGAAATACTAACTATTTCTATTGTTATGTTGTGCTTTGTGTGGCATTTGTCTTAAGTTATAGGCATTTTGTTTTTTTGTGTTTCCTCAACAAGTTGATCTGTGTTTGTGTAAAATATCATTACATTTAAATTTGAACTGATTTCTCTCAGCTATTGAAAAAGGAGCTGAGTGTGCACTTTTTTTTGGAGGTGGATAATTTTTTTCAAAACAAAACAGTCTTTTTTTTTTAAGAACAGCAACTGTGTACCATGCATCTTTATGGATTAATGTGCAACATACACTCACCGGCCACTTTATTAGTCACACCTGTACAATTGTATGCATTTCAATGCAACATTTCCACTTTAACATCTGTGTTTATGAATCCTGAAATGTTTCAGTTCAGGTGTACCTAATAAAGTGGCTGGTGAGTGTATGATCTTTAACAAGACTTTAACTTTACTCTGAATGAAGGTGAAGAGTCTTTCTGAAGAGGCCCTCAGTCTTTGAGCTGAGTGTCTTTCTCTCCTATACTATATGTCCAGAGAGTTCTTTAATTTAAAGGTGCCTCTTTGTCAGTGATTCACATTAATCAATAGAAATATGATTCTGAAAAACTCCTGCCTTCACCTCGAGCACCTACAATCATTTCATTGTTTTAAATATATGAATCTGAACCATGTGAATGTTTCATACTGCCAGCCAAATCTTCTGTATGTCGCCTCTATCCTGGCTGTCATGACTACAGAAAATGCAGACATACAAGTACAGTGTAATCTCCTCTGAGCCCTGCAACACTCACATGATGTAAATTCATGAGAGCATGAAAATACCCCAGTAATTTTAACATTTTGCTGGAGTTTAAAACAATGTTGAATGAAACTTCTAAGGCTACATAAAATATAGTGTTTGAATTTGAACACTGTACTATAAATAGGGCACATAAATGTTTTATATTTATTTATTTTTTCTTATCTGTAAAGATTGATTTATAATTTTCCTTTTTTTTGTGGTGTCTTGGAGTGAATATCAAATTCTAATAGCGTAATAGCTCTGTAGTAAGACACATTAAGGCTCAGTTGAGTCCCTGAAAATGATACAGATGAGCAGGAGAAGAAACAAATGGAGACAAAGATGCACATACACTGCATTGCATCACAGTGAAGTTGACAAATGTATCTTCTTTCTTCTGTTCTTTTTTTATTTTGAGTGCAGGGCCAAAGGAGAAATCTCAGGTCCCTGCTGAGTTGCAGATGGATGTGCCAGTGCCGCTGTTCTTCGATCCCACCCAGCTTTGCAGAGTCATCCTTCATCATGAAGAAACCAGCCCTTCCCAGATCACCTTCAATGGTCAGCTGCAGTTATCTCATTATATGTTTGTCTTAATTTCTTTCTCACTGCCTCTCTCCCCCATCTTTTGTTTTAATTTTGACCTTCAAGATAAGCACACTGCCTCGTTTTCATTTCAGGTTGCTTTCTTACATCCTTTCTCAAGTAAGAGAAGGGACTAGCATTTGAGCATGAGGGCATTCCCTCAATATTCTGAATTATGATCAGCTTTTTGCTCACAATAAGGACCAAGGGCAGTGTTTGATCTGACGCTTGTCATATAGACTAAACGTTCCCTTAGGCCACTCTGTCATGGAGCACACTGTAAGTGTAGATGTGTCTTGAGGAAACAGCATCAGTAATGCAGCACTTGCAGAGTGATGAGACCCTGTACAAGGTAGTTTTTTTTTATATACAGAGAGAGGTGTGGTTAACATCTTCACTGCACCAAGGCAAAACTTCCACTGAGGTGTGTGTCTGTGCGATAGGTCAGTCAGCACAAGCTCCAAGTACTGCACCTCACACATTTCTGCTGTACATGAATCCCACTTTTATTTTCCACAGAACAAAAAATAATGCTGCTTATTTTTTTCTAGTCTGTTTCGGTTACATTTAAAACCATTCTATGAAAAACTGTAGCACCAGAGCAGATGTCTGTTCTTTGATAAAAATGTCAATTTGTGCAGTTTTTCATTTTTGATCAGCTTTGATTGGGGAGACACATTTCCTACTTGTATATAAAAAAGACTAGCACTTCATTTCTTTTTCCAGTTGTTTGCTAAATAAAACAAGTTTTTTTTAATTTTCATTTTAATTACAGCAAATACATTTAAAGCAAATAAAAATGGGCAGCATTTAGCATAATCCAAGCAGGGAGTCAGTTTTCATAATGATTATTATATATTTATATATTTTTATGTATACATATAATATTATGTTTATATACAAGTATGGCACTTGATTACACTAAAGCAAGAAAACACCACAAACAAAAGCAGTGGGCGCTTTGGTGTGTCATAAATTAAGGAAGTCACATACATTAGCTTTGCAGCAAATTCACCAGCTACTGTTTTGCAAGTCAGCTATAAAGCAATGGAATGGTTACATATGTTAAGGTCAGTGGTGCAACACAGGCAAGAAAAAGAAGAATTACATTGCATTTCCACTAGGTTGAACCATGGTCAGTATGGATTTATATATCTATGTATATATAAATCTAGATAGTAGTTCCCCCCCCCCCTTTAACCACTGTGTGAGGTGGCATTTAATTAGGTTGGTGCCAAAAACAGGTGGAAAGCAAACATATTTTTAACACTGTCAGGACAGTAGCACATTTTGGATAAGGTCAGGCTCTGAAGTGTTCACCTCTTAGTGCAGGTTTTTGCATTTACTCTCTTCAGGTAGAGCAGAACGGGTGAACACGTTACATGGTTTCCGTTTAGCATCTTACAGAGTATAAACGTTACTAAAAAGTTGCACCAGTGCAATAATAAGTAAACAAACGTGTAACCCACGCTTGCCATGAAGTCCTTAAAATACCAAAACAAAACAAAACAATTGCCCACTCTTTAAGTCATGATGCGAATTTAGGCTTGCGCAGCTGTCCAACATGTCCATCATGGTTTCTACATGGTTTGACCGCCACCTGCCCATGTGTTACACATAGGCAGAGTCACTGGACTGAGTGCGGCCAAAGTTAGGCACACTCATTCTTGGCAAGTCCTTGTTTCTGATTTCATAAACGGATTTCCGCCGAGCCCGCACGCCTCGCACGGCCGTTTTGATTTTCCTCCAGCCCAAATGATTGAGTTCTGCCAGATTGAGCACCACACAAAACCCGCTGACCGCGAACATGAAGACCAGGAACACAGTTTTCTCCGTGGGTCTGGAGACGTAGCACTCTACATCTTTTATGCAGGGGTAGCGATCACATTCATACACCGACGGGACGTTGAATCCATACAAGAAATATTGACCCACCAAAAAACCTATTTCCAGCGCGTTTCTGAAAACCACCTGAATGATGTAAAACCTGGAGATGCCCTCTTGTCGCCTCATTTTGGACTTTATAGTTCTCATGGCCGAATTAGGCATGTCTTTGACTTCTAAACAGTCCGGTTCGGCTTCTTTGGTTGAGTTGTCTGTGTTCTGAAGTACTCCATTAACAATGGTGTTCTTTATCTTTTTGCTCTCGTCTCGCTTCAGTGAATCTTGATCCTTATCTATTGTCAGATAGACTGTTGAGTAGCGCCGTTCCTTCTGCTTGGCCGCCTGATGCACCGAGTATGTGATAAAGCAGAGACTCGGGGTGCACACCATGATGATCTGAAAAACCCAGTATCTAATGTGTGAAATGGGAAATGCCTTGTCGTAGCATGCCTGGTTGCAACCCGGTTGTAAGGTGTTGCAAACAAACATGGTCTGCTCGTCATCATAGACGGTCTCTCCAACTATTGCTACGATTAGAATCCGGAAGATGACCACCACTGTTAGTAGGATCCTAAAAAGCAAACAAACAAACAAACCATATGAAAATAAGTGTGAATATTTGAGTTTACTGATATAAATGTGGTCGAGCTGTGCGCTGCCTCGGTGGCTGACGCGCTCACAGTCCAATTATTGTGTTGCTTTAGGGAGCTGTCCAGTGCTGAAACAGGACGCTCGTATGTGTGTGTGTGTTTTTGTGTGGTTTGTGATTTAATGGTTGAAATGGCGTGTGCAGGCGGCGTTGGTTTGACTGTACCTGTGTGAGTTTTGCTCAATCTCTTTCTGCCACCCCTGAGTGCACAACCACCACTCACACTCACCGACAAAAACACCAAATGAATAAATGGATGAATGGATACATGAAATTATACTTGAATTCTAGTGTAGTTTAGGCTGTTGGTACGTTGCAGCACCATCCCAGGTTCTGAAAAGACAGCCCATTTACTTAGCTGTCTCGTTTAGGAGGAGGACAAAAAGAAGATCTGTGGAACAAGACAGAACGATCCACAACACAGACACGAAGGACTGGACACCACGCTACAGAAGATCCTGGAGGCACAACACAGAAACGGGGGGCTGGGGACCATGCTAAAGACGATCCTGGAGGCTGCTGCGTTTCTTCTGTTTTTCTTGGTTTTTGAAGATCATCTTACCTTCCGATCATAGTAGAGTGCTGCTGGACAGCAGCCTCCAGGAGCCTCTCTAGTATAGTCCATTCCCCCATTTCTAAGCATCCGGAGAAGACGAAGGTACAACGGCACTCTGTTCAAATTCCTCCAAAAAGTGCGTTATTTCCCGTGCACCTTCTCTCTATCTCGTTGCTGTCAGTCTCCAAAGCGTCCGATTGCTGCCGTACCCGTTTCTCTCCGTGTCTCTGCGCGTCTCTGCGCGTTATCAGTTGGTTAGGCTATGTGCTGAGCGCGCAGCGCCGGGGAGCGTCCTGTTTAGTTTGCCGAAAGCTCCCACAACGTTGTCACACTTTTCCTTGTCATGAGAGTCTGCTGGGCAGTTTGTTATAAGCCCGCATATTGTCGGTCTTCAGATCAGGTCGATGGGCTGCGCGCTGTGTCTGGATGGAGGAGCTGGATCTAATGTCTTGCTAGCGTTAATCCGCCTTTAAGTACCCCCCCCCCTCCCCCCATGCGCTATGTGGGCGCAGGTAGTATGGTTTCAGATTTTCAGTATTTTAGTTTTCTGCACCATTCAGTGGACACTTGTGGACGCCCGTGCCCAGAGCAGAGTGCCACAGCCTACAGTACCTTTAGTTTATACCTTTTTGCATGGGTGACTCCTCGTGAGAGTCAAGCTGTGTTTTTATATACTCAGCTCACTGAGCTTAGAGCCACATGTGCACCACATATGACAATATCCAACCTTCATCCAGCCTGTGCAGGACGTTTGGGCACACCCTGTGCTGTAGTGTTAAGATGACTTCCCTTCTTTTTTTTAACTTAATCATTAATATTCCGAGATACAAAGACGTGTAGCCAGCCCGGAGCTATCCCTCCCTATGGCCCAGCTGGTAGAGCTGCTGTTTCCACCTCGAGTCAAAGATGATGCTCTGGATACAGCGAGAGAGTGAAGGTACCATCTGAGTTGCTAATCGCTTTACAAGAGAGCTTGTTTGCCTGTCTGCCTTTCTCTCTCTGTCCCTGTCTGTGTAGAGGTTTAAAAATAGCTAATATGTGACCCTGCCATGTAGACCTGCCCATGAGATTGGATCATAGTATGGCGCCGCATTGTGCATGTACACTAATGTTAGTGCCTTGTGTGGTGGCACAATTCGGAGTCATAGTCATTTATATGACTCTCGTTTTAAACTATGGCTTCATTAAGAATTCACAGCACATATACTGTATAGCATAACATACAGTACTACAACATTTGCTCTTATAAATCTGGTTTGTTCATTTCTTTTATTAAAATAATGCAACATACAAAGTTATTAAATTGTTTTATTTTTACTAACATTTTGTGTCCCTTCGATGATGATGATGATGATTGTTATTATCATCTAAATGTAAATAGCAAGTTTCTCAGCCTGGGACACGGAGATAGTCGAACACGTGACATGTTATGCTCAATGAATTTTTGTGAGGTTAATTTCTCATGAGGTGTCTTATCCTCTCCACTCACTGTAATCTAGTCTAATTCAAATCTTTAATAACCTTTGTTCCTCCATCACGTGACGACGGAATAGTGCCTCTGCTGAGAGAGAGAGAGAGAGAGAGATGCTTTAGGCTATCAGATCCTGAAAAGCATTGTTATTTCTCCTGAAAGAAAGAAAAAGCATCAGCTGTGCGTCCTGGTTTATTTATAAACGTGTACATATCAACATATAAATTGCACGTGAGTGTAAACAAAGGATTTGAGGAGAACACACGAGTTCCTGCTTTTGGCACAGACGGGAAAAGGTAACAGAAAGTGAAGAGAGGCAGTCTCTGGTGCTTAGAAGCACTTCCTGTGTACGATGGAGGGTCCAGCCTCATCATACTCCTGCTTGCTGATCCACATTTGCTGGAAAGTGGACAGAGAGGCGAGGATGGAGCCACCGATTCATACGGAGTCTTTCGGGTCAATAACATTAACACAGTGAAAGTTAATTTATGTTTATTATTTCTCAGTAGCTGTAATCCACAGTCTGAAGAGGAAGGGGAAAAAGAAGCTGATGCGATGAGATCTGTCTGTTAGATGACAACATTTGGTTAGTCAGTGATGGAAGTCACTGTCATTAAAATCCAGTATCCATCCTTTTGTGATAAGTCCACTATATGATTGGCCCTAGTAGTCCTCCTTCGGTCAGCTCGTGTACTCACCAGATCAGCACCAGGCTCTGGATCTTGAGTGTGTAAACCAGGGGTGTCCAAATGTCATGTAGGGTCAATTTATACTCTGACAAGTGTCCGTGAGCAGGGGGAGTGTAGTGCGACCCCTTCTCCATATTTGGTAGCAGGTTGCCCCATTGACAACAGCCACTCCATGAATGGCATGACAAGGAGAGGGAGCTCCCCAGCGGACGCGCGCTTTCCGCCCATGTTTGGAGGACAGTGGTGAGGGCAGAGATGCAGTGCCAGATTTCCGTTGATTTTCTTCCTACCTGCATGAAAATCACTACTGAAAACCGTTACTGTGTCTATGGCAGACCTTAGTGTAGTGAATAATAACGGCATTAGTTCAGATTTCTATGTAATGTCAATAACTAAAGCAAATAATAAAATAAATAAATGACAAGTCATATTCAGTCGATTTCAAACAGAGAAACACACGTTTGTGTCCCTGGAAAGTTCCAGTAAACATTTGCATATCAGTCCTGACTGATAGGTAGGACAGTTGTAGCCCCACTACCAAGAGGAGAGACCACTCGTGCCACACAGCTGGTGTTTGAAGCTGTTTGAATAGTAGAAGCTACAAACCCCCCTTTTCAGATTCGCCTCAACAAATAGGGGGAAGCCACTGCTTCAGACAAACACTCCTACTGTAGTTTGGTGTAAATGTGTCTCCAGTCACAACAGTTTTGTTAAATGTTAAGCTCACACATACAGAACATTCATTAACAGCAGCATGCTGCTGGTCTCACCATGTGGCAAAAAGGAAAGGTATTTCTTGCAGATGCATTAATACATTTCATTAACATAAAATCAATGGGATTCCATTATTCAAATGAACACTTTGGACATCATTGATGTTCATGCAGCATGCTGTGTCCACATATGCAAAAAGTGGAAATAATTAACTGCATGCTTTTTTTTTTGTAATTTTATTGACATGTTAGAAGAAATCTTAAGACAAACTAGATAACACAGCATACTAAAACATCTTCAGTTGCATATTAGCACCTAAAACACCAACTACTGGTCCAATAATTACCTTTTTATGTAATAAGAGTCAAGGTAATGCATTTTTGCATGTAAGAAGCAATGTTAATCCTATTTGTTGTCCCCGACATCAAGACAATGAAAAAGGACCATGTTTTATTGTGACATATGCCATATTATTTTTTTAAAATTCCTGCACTGATGAAAGAACAAGACGTAGGAAGTGACATTGCCAGTTTACTTGAAACGGACAGAGAGCAAGCTCTGAAGGCTGTACAATAACACTGGCTAAGAGCAGTGGACAGTCCCACCACGAGGAGGACAAGACAAAAGGGCACAGCAAGCCATGAATCATATGCTGCTGTCACCTGACCCCAAGCCATACCCCTTCACTGTGTGACTCTTTGTTTTTGGTCTTATGTAATGAATGGTAGGCTGTGGTCTGCTTTAAGCATCCTTTTGCCCCAGTATTCAAATAATACTAACATTTTATGACCAGAGAAGTTAAAACTGTCTGTGGAAAACAGGGAAAAGGTGCATGGCAGCTTTCAGCCTGGGTTTGCTCTTGTGACAAAACAAATTTATTTAAAAGGATATTTCTACTGCTATCCTTTTTTTTTTTTATTGTGTTCAGGTCAGGCCACACTTATGTCAAGAACTCTGAATTTATGTATTGGCATTGTTAAATTGCTCATTCTTAGAGCACCCATGAGTGTGAATGGCTCAGGCCCCTGTGCCTGGATCAGACACACACACTTGGAGAGCGCTCAAACAGTCTTATAGTGTGACTTTCACTTTAGCTGTTGCTACTGAGATTGAATCACTGTGGCACAATCATTTTCCCCCTACTCACGGGTCCTGGGGAGAGCTGCCTCATTACTCAGCAGCAGAGATGAGATAACGACAAAACCGTCTAGAATAAAACCCACATTGATTTTCCATGGGAATTTCACATAATAAACAGAGTCCAAACCCTTTTAAAGAACCCGGAGGGGAAGTTGTTTACCTGATGCAGGCAAGGTTTTGTACTTAAATCAATAATGTGCACATATATAGGAATGTTCCTGCAACGGATTGTGGCGTTTGAGCTGTTCATCAGACACTTGCTCAATAGAAATGGTCTGAAAGCACTTTGTTCTTTCCACCATGGTGCATTTGTCTGTGTTGAGCCTCCATGGCCATTTATAGGTCACAGAAGAAAGAAGATGTCAAACGTATTGCACAGTGAAAATCAGGTGTCTTCTTCCTGACCCATTCACTGGCTCCAGAGTTACAAGTAGATGGCTTCTGTTAAAGTCTTCTGCTGGGCACCAACAAAGCAGCACAGAGCTTGGATGACAGTACTAAATGATCCAACCTCTAACATTCAAGGGCAAAACCCTCCCTAAAGTTCCTCATTAGGAAACTGGAAACCAGGAGCAGCTCTCTGTCTTGTGGACTGTAGAAGTGGCCCACTTTGAGACCTGGCAAACTGACATGATCTCACATAGCCATTTAACAGTGTTCCCACTTGTGTGTTTGTGTGGGCATGTATGTGAGAGTGAAATTACAGATCACTGTGAGGTTAATTGAAAGGGGATGCATGTATTTAGACTCTCTCCCTCTCTGCCTCCTGGGTCTCCTTGGAACCAGCAGGATAGGCTTTTTCCACAGTCACTCTCAGATCCCACTAAAAAATTCACTAGCACTCTCTCTCTCTCTTTTATAGCCTCTCTCAGTACGGCACTGTGAGCTTGGCTTCAAGGCCGTTTGCCTGCTGAATCCTCTGCTAAGACTTCTGGGAGGAAAAACAGAGAAATCTGAATTAAAATTATATGGTTTATGTGTGTGTGTGTGTGTGTGTGTGGCTGCTGTCCTCAGGATGTTTGGGAGTAGAAACAAAAAAGCAATCTAAGAAGTTCTCATATGACACTCATAAATACTGCAAAACATGTTCAGGCATTGGACACCTTTTTTGTTTTTATGGAATTTGTCTCAGATTATAACCTGAATTTAAACAAATGGATGAGGCTTTTGTCATTGTGTGCATTTGTCAAGAGTGAAGGTGAGGTTAAAAAGCACTCTGGATTGAAACTAAAACCTTCCCGACTCAAATTTGACCAATCTACAAAATAGTAAACTACCCAGCAATATTTTTGTTGTGGTTTGCAAAGTTGCTGGTGAAGTACTTGATAATGGAATGTGTGTTTTAATCAGGAAAACGTTCTAATCTCTAAAAATGTTTTTAACATATAGTGCTTTTTTAAAAGCTGCATGTTTTGTAGCAAAATGTATGAAGTGAAGTATAAAGTAGTAGAAAATGGAAATATACTCGAGTACAATTACTTCAAACATGTACAATATGTAATTCCAGTGTTGAGTCATTGCATTCCCCTGTATTCAGTAAGACTCAAGTTGCTTGTTCCACTTAACATCCGGCATCATGTTGCCACTTGATGTCAGATAATCGTCTTTGCCGCCATGACGGTTACTGCAAGAAATGTTTAAAAAAACAGAAAGAAAGAAAGCTTTTATGGCAACCTTTCCCCCTAAAAGATCAATGCCTGTTAGCAACATTACCACTGACCTCAAAGCTCAGCAGTACTGACCCCAACAGCAGCAAAAGGTGTAGTGACTAAGGTCACTACATTAGTATGTGCCAGCTTGAAATGGTAATTAGCCATGATAATTCCCCTCTTCCCTGTTTGTCATGATAGCTCAGAGCACACTGGGTTGAGTCATAGGGGTTGAAGCTAACAGCTACCCTTAAAGAAATGAAATTAAACTGCCTGATGTCCCTCTGAGATATTACATGGCATAGCAATATGGACATAACTTGACTTAAAGTTTCATAGCAGCTGATTTAACAAAGTCAAGAAAAAATTAAACAGAGGGCATGGAGGATATAAGAATATTCAGTGGTGTGATTCAGGAGTAGCACATGAATGAAGAAATAAATAACTGCCATGCTGGCTGTTTCCCCCTTTATGCTGCACTAAGCTAACTCTCAGTGAAAAAAAATAAAACAAAACAACCATGAATAAGCCTATTTCCCAAAATGTCAGACTTGATTAGAAACCAGTTTTAATCCCTGATATACTTCTGAAACAGCACTGAATGCGGATTGAGTGGAACTGTACAAAATAGCCTGCAATTAAACAACAACATGAAACACAGGAAATAAAACGCAGCTCAGAAACGGTCTCAGTGTTTTAACTTTAAAACTGACTGTACGCATGTTTTTAGATATTTTCAGTGCTTTGCAACTTTGCGTTTTAAAAATGCCCACTGTGACGATCTATGTAAAGCAGCTGTATAAGATAAACCAACTGGTGCTTAAAGAATTTACCCAAATAGGAAAATGACATAATCCATCAAGCGTTATCACTTAGTTTATTGTAAAAGTTTGATGTTATCAAATGTGGAAATACAGTATGTGGTGTTCATGTTGCATGTTGACATGTTGGTGAAGATGGTACTTATTTTTTTATTTAAATCAAACTACCATTTGTGCAAGGTTCTGCTGATAGTGATTTGCCTTATCGCTACAGACAGATTTATCATCTGCTTTCCACAGTTTTCCGTTTGCTGTTTTGGTTTTCTGGGCCACATCGTTTAGTTCCGCTTTGCCGCTCTCATAAACTGCTACCTGCCCAGCAGCAAATTGCAAATGGACTAAGTTTTCCATGAGTGAAAGAGTCTAATTTCCTTCACAGGACTTGAGGGCAAAACTGTGATACAGTGCTGTTGTTGCTGACTGTCTGACAGGCAGTTGTTCGCTACCACATTAGCCACATTGTGTTTACAGTTTGTTCTGCTGTATCCAGGTGGCCAAGAAATCAAGTAATGTCACTTTAACTTGTCCATGATTTATGTGAGCAACTGCTATTCCAGAATCAAAAATGTCTACGTGACTTCCTTCTAATGTTTGTTGGGATAAGCTCCAGCCCCATGACCCTAAGTACAAACAAGTGGGCAAACAAATTCTATTCATCTTCACCATAACATTTTACAACATAGATTTTCTGCTTAGTGCTATATAAAATAAATCAGTCGACAAATGCAGAGACCGAGTTCAAAGCAGTTTTAATCACATAAGTTTCCATAGAGTCATTTAGAGGTCGAATCACTGCCATTGTTAAATTGCCATTTTCATTCTCATCTTCTCCATACAGTGTCATCATGAATTAAACAGCAAACAGAAAATGAACCCAAAGCTGATTTCCTTCCTAACAAACCCATGCAATTTTGAAATACATGGTTAGTTACATCTTAACAGATCCATTTTCTAGACCTTCCGGACCTTTTTGTTATGCAACTTGTCAAGTTTCTTACCGCATTGAGTGGCATTTGTTTCAAGATGTCACTGCATAAACAGACATTAATAGTTTTCCTTAAAGTGAAGGCTCTTCTCTGTAGAAAAGCATTTTATCTGGTCTTTGGCCCCGGTGTTGTCAGGTCTTGGTGACTGGATCTCAACACAAAGGCTTGCAGTGCCTCATATTATTAGCACAAGTTCGGCCCAGGTTGGCCCCTTCCAGGAGTAGATCAGAGAGTCGGTCCAGGCCCAGGCAGGTTGTGAGGGGGCTGATGAGGCCGTAGAGACCGCCTAAAGCGATGCCAAGAGGCCAGCCGATGAATAGCAGAACCACCAGCCAGATGATACACCAGAGACATGACCCACAAGTGGCCATCCTAGTCTGGGAGAAAGAGGGACAGTTGCTGATATTTTATTCAGAGTAGAGATACTTTACAATGTTTCTGCTTAAGTGGAGCAGACTTAGAACTATAACTGACCACTGGAATTTTGGGTCATAAATGATGGTGTGTCCATCACTACAGTAGCATCAGAATGTGCTCCTGTGCGCAGCTGTGCCTCTTCAGTGATGATGAGAGATGATCAGATTTATGATCTGGATGTACTTGTCATGAGTAGGCAGTGGTCTTGACAAAGCCTGATAACCTGGCAACCTCGAGCAGTAATAACTAGGCCTGTCTGCCTGTTGAGGTCAACAGACCACTCACCCAGACAGTGTCGAAGACTGACCTTGGCACATTAATCACCTACTAATAGCAGATCTGCAGAGATCATGCCTATGCCTAACTCTGGTAAGCAGCATTAGTTTAGCAAACAGTAGCCACATGCTTCTATTTTTGCTTTTTGTATTATCTGTGATGAAAAACTTATAATTGGAATGCTGTATGATGTGTGAAGCCTCTCTGATGATTTATGCAAAGTATAGTGGCAAACATATGTGGAAACCTTTGCTACAGTGACTACAGTGAGCTTTGTGTGTTAAAATCCACCAGAAACATCTGCCCTGCCTCAAAAACAGATTGTTCAACTGACGGTTTTAGGAGTGAGAAAGTGTTGTGTGCTGTCAGATTCTCCGAGCACGTTTTTGCTTTAAGACACAACGGCCAGAGCCTTCCCTTCTGTCCTGACTCTATATAGTGTGTAATTTCCTGTTGTGACACTACTGTCATATAGGGTTGGGAAATAAATGACACATTCTACATGTGTGTGTGTCCCATGGTGGATCCCGTGCTTTGGGGAAATGCCCCCACACCAAAAACCTTGTATTTCCTGCTTTTGTTTAAATGGCTGAATAGCCTTTTTGTTTTTATAAAAGATTTGAAAACATTCAAAATGATGGTTTATTCTGTACAAAAAAGGCATTTTATGTAGCAGTTTGTCAGTATACAAAACCAGTAACCTGCCATCTGTGCTGTACATTAACAGTTTTTACAGCACGCCCTGTGACATGTCTGCCCATAACGCAGGTTAGAAGTGAGAGCTTTGCTAAGTAGCTATTAACCAAATAAATACCTGTCAGCAGAGAAAGGTTCTGGGGGAAGAGAGCTCCTGATCTCCTTGTCTTGCTGTTTCTTCCAGGTCCCCAGATTTTGTTTGAGGCTTCCAGAGACGCTGTGTACGAGCAGAGCCACTTCCCACCAGTTACCTCTACTTTACTACAACAAGGTCCCACAGGAAGTGGAATTCTCAAGATACCAGCTGGGAGAAAGCAGAAAGTTTGTGACTGGAAGGCTTAACAGGGGGAGGATATTGCACAATGCAGATTCATGTGACTAAAGAAAACACATGCTTGGTGTCATGAGTTTTTAGTGATGTGTGTGTTATTGTTACATAATGTGTCCTTAGTGGTAATGTTAATCCAAACTGTACAAATTCTGAAATATATCAGCGTTATATGATAGAATATATTGGTCATAGTGTTGTGGGCTCTATGCCAAAACTTGTTAATAATTCACTGTTGCAGAGATAATCTCTTTTTTTGTTTGCTCAGATAACAGAAAGGCATATATAGCCTACCACTCCAACCTCAACCCAGAGTGCCCTGCTCCCACAAGACATTGCATGGCTACAGGCCATGGTCTCTCTCCATATTCATCAACACATGCTTCTCCATCAAGTCTTCAGACTCGTCCAGGCAAGAGCAGCAGTGCAGCTGACCTTTTCACTGAGCCTACCTGAGGTAGGATGTAACAACTATTCTCTGGTGCATGATGATAAATGCATGTGCTTTAGCCTGCAAAGTGTGAAGTGTGTTCATCTTTTCCTTGTTTTTAAGTAGGGATGTCGCAATCCAGTTTTTGGCCCCCATACCAATCCTTTAATATTGAGTTTCTGCTGATATCAATTTTGATCCACTAATTATATTTATGTTCATTAAATATCTGACATGCTGAAATTTAATCTGGCGCACAGTATTTTTCAGGAGCTTCTTGATCCAAATATTGGATCAGGTCCTGGTTCAAAAACGTTAAGTTTCTTAGCTTAAGAATAATCAGGGAAATGGAAAACACACACTCAGAACAATGAAAGGCCACTAGTTCCAACCAGAAAAAAAATCAATCTATCATCTGTTACATCACTACTACTGAACAAGGCAGTTCTTTTTAAAGTGTTAATTGGATGTAGGCCCTACTGTCCATATACAGACGGGTGTAGCCAGTATGTCTATTTGTTGTTTGGACTGTAGTTTTCCCCTTTCTGACGCGCATCGGTAGGCTCCTGCATATGTTGTCGTACTGCCTATGCAAGTCTCCAGCTGCACATGCTATATTTTCGACGTAAACATGGTAAATTTTATGCTCTTGTCCAGTGGTGCTACAACATCCACCACCTTTTGTTAATGCAGTATTATTAAATTGTCAAACAGGGATTTCTAAATTTGACTGGTTACACAAACCGTGTTCACACACGTAGTAACTGCCCTGTAATGAATTTGTAGTTGTTCTGGATTCTGTGGAGCTTTTTCAGGTTGCGCCTATACGCGTAAAGCACAAGTTATATGCTGGTCCACTAGAGGGCAGTGTAGACAGCTGTATCCACATCGACTGTACACAGGGTCAGAATGATCTGTAGATACTTTGAGCTATGTAGGAATTTCGACTTGGCTAAGTCGAAATTCTGACATAGCTAAGTTAGAATTTCTACTTAGATTTACTTAAGTCGGAGTAACTGTCGGGAATGGGCTTCCATAGTTTATAGTACATCTGGCAAATAGAATTATCTTTTTAATTCACTGTAGATAAACTTGTAAGCAACTTCGAGTAGCCGACTGAGTTAACTCTAAATGTATTGTCACAGATCCTGATCCTCCAAACGGCCAAAAACAAGGCATCCATGGCTCTGGTGTTCTTCCATGAAGCTGCAAAGAAACCCGACTTTCCATCCAGGTAGTCTACGCAGTCCTGTTTTGGTTTTGATATTAACATTTAATATGTGAATAATTAAAATGTTTAATTTGATTAAGTAACTTTTGTGTTCAATTTTATAGCAGTAGGTTAAATTCTCTAAAATATCAAATTAGGCTTCATAGTAGTAGTTACTCCCGCTTTTCAGACTGCATGTGGGTTTTCAGTCATTTTAATGGCAGTTTGAAAACTGACAATTTTACTACAGTCAACCTTGTAGAATTTAAGAATATCAGTATAATACTGAAACACTGCACATCTTAAATTGCTTGCAATTTTGTTTTAGTGCAGGTTCAAGAGTGAGTGGGGACAATGGACCTGAGATGTTGGAGGCATAAGGGAAGCTTCAGGGAGAAGTGTCCCCAACCAAAGAACATCTTAAAGTGAGCAGTTCTCCTTTTTTACTTTGTGTTAAGGTGGACCAAAGGTTTACAGAACAAAATAATTTAGTTTATTTTGTCTTTGTTTCCCCCCACAGCCTGCCTCCAATCCAAGATGATCTTGACATTGAGGGATGGAACAACCCTTCACAGGACACAGCTGTGGAAAATGGGAAGACTCAGTCCTGTCAACCCTCACGAGGACACCAAGGTGAGAGAGACTCTTTAATGACAATTTTTGTAAAAACAACTTGTGGCTTAATCCCAGAAAATATTTCAAAGTCTTCACAAATATTTTCATTTCATGGGATGTAGATCATAATGGAGTGAGGAACTAAGAGGCTGATATCTTAGCTGTTAAAAGCAGAACCAGACAGTTTTAAAGTTGTAGTAACTTTATTATATACAGTATGTGGATGGGAAAAAAATGGGGCCATCTCCCACACAGAGTACTCTCTTCTTTTACATGCTGCTGAAGTATTGGGCTCAGATGGGAAATCCCTACTGGTGAGGTTATCAAGGCACAGTGCCTCACATCTTCTTCATGCTGTTACACTGCATGTGCCTGGACCAGAGTTGTGAAGACTTTTACAGTCAGACCTCAAGAGATGTCAAGTTACATGACTGTAAAAGTCTTCATAACTGTGGTCCAGGCACATGCAGTTCCAAGTCAACATTATATAGTTAGACAAAATCAGGAGGAATTGAAATATTTCATCTCACCACATGTTGAAATAATAGCTGTCTCTGAATTACTGGTGGCAAGTCCCACGAAAAGGCCAGACTGCTGATTTCATCCCTCTGCAGGTCAGACGAGTTCATCACCATCAAGCCTAAAAGGAACATTCACTTTTGTTTACCCTCAACTTATGAAGCGCACCATGCAAATATGATCTTTAACAGTAATTTAAACTAATCTGCAGAGTAGTTTAAATTACTGTGTTGTATGAATAGAGGTAGCGGTGCAGTGAAAGGTAGGTAACACTAATCTCATGAGGTGAAAGGTCGATTCACTAGCTTTTGTAGTGCTTTTAATTACCTTTACATGCTTTCTCACCCATTGTTGGCTTCATACTACATTTGGAATATAGACCTACAGAGCTGCTAAAATATCCCTGTATCATTTTGTCAAAGTAGAATTGTACTGCGACTACTAGTACTTGATTACTTGCTATATTTTGGCAATATGCCAGTAAGACTAACCATACTTTTGCCTAAATATATACACAATATATTTGTTTGTGGCCACCACTATTGTTTCATGAAAGGCAAGTAACTGTAAAACTAAATGTATTTAACACTTTTCATATATATTATACACTGCACAATGTATTTTAGCAGCTCTGTAGGTCTATATTCCAAATTTAGTATGAAGCCCACAATGGGTGAGAAAGCCTGAAATGGTAATTAAAAGCACTATAAAACCTAGTGAATCCACCTTTCGCTGCACCGCTACCTCTATTCATACAACACAATAAGCCACCACCCCACACACTGCATCCTAAAAATGCCTGCCCAGACCATCTCTGAAGATGGAGAATATTTTGTAGAAACCTATATGAAATTACACCATTGTTTCTATTGTTCTGGTGAGCTTACCCATCCACAGCCTAATAGAGAAGGAGTGTAGTGTCAATTTGTTCTTGAAGAGGGAAAATGTAAAGGATGCATTTCCCCATTGCTGGAGCATCTTGTTTGTGTAGCCAACAGAGACAGGATCCTCTGGCCACCGTCACCTTGAATGTAGAACAGGAGTAGAATAAGACAAGTGTGTCACAAATATATATGATAAAAAAATTACAATGAAAATGAAATGTCTTAATTTGAAGAGCACATCTTACACAGACATAGTGGAAAAACTCAATACTCACGTATTTACCTAAGAAGGTTTCTCCACTACAACAAAGAAATCCGTGTCTGTGTGCGCGTCGGGGCGGAACTCCACCATGTGCAATACAGAGAGCAGAACTGTAAACGCGCGACTATGTAGAGACAGAAATGTCATGCCGTTGTGGATGCTGACTCAATATCCACACAATAAGGATTGGAATTGGATTAGCTTTATTCTGGCTAATAGGATCATGTAAAATATGCCCAGATCAGTGCAGATATCAATATTTAGTATAAGATTTTTAAATGGATTTATGCTTTAATGACCAGGATTTGTGCTGTTGGATTTGACTTTGGAATGACAAATATAAGGCCTAAAATTATTTGCTCGAATTTGGTTATCAAACCTCGTCCCCCAACACTGATCCAGCTGATATAAACTACTCTGTAGAGCACTGTGCTGTTAGTACTCCCCACAAAGTTATGAATGGCAGAGGATTTTATGGCTTGCTGGTTGAGTGACTGTGTACATCCAAAGGGCGAGTTGAAATCCCCCAGTGTGCACATTGGCTTTTAGTTGAAGTGACTGACCTACAAACCGCAGCTTAGTTTGGAGTTGTGCTTAAAGCAGAGGAGGGAAGCAGATGAATGGATGGAAGTATCATGACAGATTTTGACAAGGCATAACCATGTTGACTATACACCGTATCCATCTGTAAAGAGTGTGTGAGCTGTACATTAGATCTCTGTGATAGGTGCATATAGAGAAAAATGTCACTGAAAATGAAATATTTCACTTTTTTAAAAGATTTGAGGTTACAAAATCAAATGTTCAAGACAAGAAAAATGAATAACACGTTATCTCTTCAGTAGAAAACAAATACAATATCACTGAGTCCACACTAAGCTTTTCTTAAGGGACAGTCCTTGGCCACCTCCAAAACTAAAGCTTGAATTAGGCACTAGTCCCAGATGAGGATGCACTATTGCTCTGGCTCCTCCCCGCTATCCTCCCCATCGCTGTCACTGTCTCTACCGGGGTGCTCTGGCATCTTAGAGTGATCCACTGTTTCCTCCTTCTCACTGGTGCTGTCCAAGGTGGCCTCTGAGCTTCCCTCTCCTCCTGGGTTTTCCTGCTCCATGGGGGTTTCTTCCTGCGATTCCCCACAGCTAGCTGGCACTTTCTCAACCGCATTATCTGTCTTGGTTTGTTGTGGAGGCAGAGCCAGTTTCTGTTCTTGCTGCTAAGAAGCCAAAGGAAAGGAAAACAATCATGTGTATTTCCACCTGGGTTTTTTTTTTAGGTCTGTGGCGCATCAAGCAGACGGCCAGCCATTGACCATTGTTGGGCCATCGGTGAGTTTCTTTCATCTCTGGGCAAAGAAACGCCAAGCCAACATCAATGAACTAGCAGCAACAAAGGCCAACTATTGCATCACCTTCATCAGGACCAAAATGTGGTATGTTAATACACTGCAAAGATACAGCCAACAGCCACCTACCATGTACGTTTTTACACCTGTGTGAGAGAAATAACTCTTCATACCAGCGGGCGGCGGTAGTCTGTTTTTGTCATTCAACTTGATAAAGAGGAAGCACTAGGACTGTGGATATACAAACTGTAAACAGTGCACCGCTCGCTCACTACAGATGGCACTGACGCTGTCAGCCTTTGGTCTCTTGGAACTGTTCTCCTTTGGTCCATTGATTCGCTGAGCTTAACAGCCAATCAGAGTGGTCTTTCTCACTGATGGGGTCTGCCACCAATTCAACATGCTGAATTGGCCGAAAAGCCACTGACAAGCTCCAACTACTGACAACGGTGCATCACACACATCACGAGGGTGCTAGACACTGACAGCAGCTTTGTGGCAAATCAGTGCACGAGAAGAGAAGGGTTCAGGAAAGCCCCTTGAGTCCATCAGTGTAGTAACTGATTTCACCCATTTACTCTACTTATTTTCCACCTCCACAACCTCCTTTCTTGTTGTACAACCAAAAGACCAACTTCTTATCAGACATGTTCTCAATGAGAAGTGGCTATAAACTCTGTGGTGAGCGAGAGCTGCTTTGATTACAGTTTGTATATCCACAGTCCGAGGTCTTCCTCTTTCACTTTCTGAAAGACAAATACAGATGCCTGCTGCTATGGAGAGACAATTCCTCTCATGCAGGTGCAGAACATACATGAAGAAGAAGCAGCTTTATTTTATTGTCATTGTAGCACATACAACTAAATTTTGTTTGGAGCCAAGGGGCCCCGGGTCGCTGTGCGCATACGCACCGCCATCATGGGCAACTTGGGGGTTTAGTGTCTTGCCCAAGGACACTTCAACATGTGGACTGCAGGCACCAAGATTTGAACCTTCAACCTTCTGGTTGGGAGGCAACTGCTCTCCCCACTGCACCACTGTTGGCTAGGTGGCTGTAGTCCTTGTGGTGTGTTCCAAGTGCTACATTTTGGCACCGATGTAAGGGAACGCAACAGTCCACCTTCATTGCTGCTAGCTCTGCTTGTTGTCTCTGCCTCAAAACTATAGACCAAACATATCAAATCTTGATGCTTTCTACTGGGATAAATTCTATGCTTAGGGATCTAGTTTAGATACCAAGATAAAAAAGGTGTCACTCTTTTACTCCCTCAGTTATGTCATAAACCTCTTTTAGTGAGCACAGAAGACAATGTACAGTTTAGTACAATTACCTGGTTATATACATGAATTGGTCATAAAATGTGATCCGATCTTCATTTAAGTCACAAATATACAGACAAACAAAAGCTAATACCACACAACCAATTATAATTTTTCCTGTCTTCGTTGAACCCAGCTCTTAAACATTTAAAGTGCTGAAGGAAAAAGTGACCCCTTGGATTTAATAACTGGTTAAAGCTCCTTTGGCAGTAATAACAGACATGTGCTTCCTGTAGCGGTGGGTCAGACCTGCATAATGTACAATAGGGATTTTGGAGCATTCTTCCCTGACTGGGGAACCAGTCACAACCCAGACCTCAACCCAGTAGAGATGCTGTGGAACAACCTCAAAAAGCTGTTCACACCAGACATCCTAGGAATATGGCTGGGCTGGAGCAGATCTGTGAAGAAGAATAGTCCAAAATTTCTCCTGTACATTATGCAGGTCTGACCCGACGTTACTACTGCTGGAGGAGCTTCGACCAGTTATTAAATCCAAGGGATCCCTTACGTTTTCCACCAGCACTTTAAATGTTTAAGGGCTGGGTTCAATCTTCTTCTACTTTCAGGGAGCCACAGCGGATCATCAGTTGCCACCCAGCTGACGATGCACCCTTCTGGATGAAGTCTAATTTAGAGCCGCCAATCAACCTAACCTGCGTGTCTTTGGACTGTGTGAGGAAACTGGAGCACCCGGAGAAAAGCCACGCAGGAACAGAGCGAACACACTCCACACAGATAGGCACCGGGTCAGCCAGGGCACGAACCCGGAACCTTCCCACTGTGAGGCAACAGCGCTAACCACAATGGCTGGGTTAAAAAAAAAAACATGAAAATGATACATCTTTGTGTGGTATCAGCTTAAAGCACATTGTTTGTCTATATTTGTGACTTAGATGAAGATCAGAACACATCTTATGACCAAATCATGTATAAAGCCAGGTAATTCCAAAAGGTTCACTTACTTTTTCTTGCCGCTATATGCACAATTGAAACAATACGAACTCTACACTTGGGATACTTGGCTTATGGCCTGTTCGTTCTCCAGATGGAACTACAATAGTTCTGTCATCAATTTACTATGCTCAGGTGTACTATAGAAGTTTATATTCCTAGGAGACAGCTGGTTGTTTTCAGCGATGCAGCACTACATCCTGATAAATACAATAATAAAAAGTGTCAGTTTTTACCTGTCTGTACTTCAGAGAGGTCTGCATCATGTGCATGTACATATTATACACCAGGGTGGCCATCTCAGGCATGTCCTTAACAATTTGGTCTTGTTGTCCAGAGGCATCTCTCTGAGGGGAAAAAACAAGCATCAGTAAGAGAAAGATTATTTTGAATCCATGATATCTGAAAAGAATAATAAAGAAGCATTGTAGTTGTCCTGTCAGCGGTCATTGTACAAATCACCTGCCCACTGCTGCCTCCAGTGATCACTGCTCACATACTGTCAAAAGGACTGAAAACAGCTTTTGTAATTTGACAATGTTAATATTCAGAAAGACGTTTACAGCCTAAAGTGAAGAGTGCAGCAAGCAGAATGTTCAGTCAACTGGGCTGTTACCTCAGAAATACAGGGGTTATGCTTACGGAGGCCGTTTGGGCATCATGTCCAAGTTAATCACTGATGGCTTCAGCACTCTAAAAATTAACTATGCATGTTTTTTTTTTGCTATAAAACTCTCAGGGCATCAGTGTGTTTCCCACTGACTGTGTGTGATTAGACAGGTTTTACCATCTGTCCATTACAATGCAATAGTAAATGTACATATATCCATATGGAGCATTAAGGGGGGTTGTGTAACTGGTTCTGAATCAGTACTGTTAAGTAGCCCATGACAGTTCCAGTCAGGTGTTGCAAGACAAATTCTAACTTTTAATCTGCATCTGCTTGTAAGCAGCATGGGTTTACTGACTCCAGATAGATGGGCTAAGCAGGGGACGCATGTGTGTGCCCAAAAGAGCTGTCCCCTGTGGGAAAGAACATTCTACAATCACAGGAAGTGTCACAGGCTACGAGGTATTTTAGACACCCCTGTTGCCACAAATGGCAGCCAGCGAGACACAGTGACCAGATACAAGTTGTCTCATTCTGGCCTGGTAGGACTAGGGAGAGTGGTTTAGCCTTCTGACCTCTGGAGGTTAATTATAGCCAGGCCCCTGTTTCCCATGCTGTCAACAAACCGAGGATTCTGCATAAAGCTGCAGTAAGTCTAGGGACCTTGTGAGGACCAAGGGGAACTAAGATGCTATTCAAAATATAGAAATGGGATCAAACAGAGTGGGGGGCTGTGGCTGCAATGATGCAGTGAGATGCTACAGATTACAGCAGTTTTATGAAAAAGGGCACTGTGTGCTATCAGCTATCCAAGGGCAGTATCAGCAAATCTGGAGCTTTGGTACTTCATAATCACTCAAATTCAACAGAGTAGAAGAGTGAATGAATACATGTGGATCTACATACGGGCTGTTCCTGGCTGTAGTACTCATGTGGCCTGATGTGCAGCTGCAGTGGTCTGGCAGTGAGTTGGTTGAAGGCAGGAGTCAGCTCAAAGCAGTTCTGGAACAGCGACACCCGGGCAAAGATGTACAAACCCAGTCTGGCTCTCGACATGGCCACCACCAGACGCCTCACATCTCTGTGGGGTGACAGGAAAAAAAAGTTGAAAACTGGTTTGACACAAGGGGGAAAATAAAGAGAAGTGTCAGGGTTGAGGGAAGGAAGCATGAAAGAGGAAGAAATCATATATAGGGGCATAAATCTACACTATGGGACGAAAGCATTTTGGCTTATTAAACCACAAGAAGTCTTTGGCTTATGCAAGCAGCTCTGGTGATACTGAAAACAGTGTTTAATTTGATGTAGAACAATCTGTCACATGACCATACCTGCATGAATGCACTTCAAAATACACATTAACACAAAGTACACACATGCAAATGCAGCCAGAAATGGGATACAGAGTACACTTGAGGACATCATTAGAATAAGAGGATTAACCCTTACAGTAAGCATGATGCGTTGAATTAATATGTAGAGGGGGAAAGGGCTTATGTAAAGAGATGAAGGGGTTATGAGTGAGCTAATATGTGCAACCTATAGATTAGATTATAGATTCCTCGTGTGTCCAACACACCTGGCCAGTAAAGCAGATTCTGATTACAGTGAACATTATTATGATTACTAAACAAAAGAGTGCACATGGTACAAAATAAAACATGAAACAACATTTCCACAGAGACAAAGTACAGCAGCCTTCAAACCAATGAGCACGGAGCTTTAGGAGAGATGAACCAGTCATGAAGCATGACAGCCTGTGGACATGGCACTATAGACACATGCCCACCTGGGTTGTGTGGTGACACTGCAGAGCAAAATGAACGAGCACTGGTTGTGTGTTTGTGTTCGGAGTGCATCAGGATTTGCGCTACCCTGTCAGAGTGTGCCTGTCAGCAGAAATGCTTCTGCTGTCAAAGCAAGGGTCAGCTTGTCATATGGTCAGCTGCATCCCCTGTGGTTGTCATGGCAGTGGATTGCCATGATGAGAGATGCACAAAAGAAGAGGAGGAAGCTTGTAAAGTAAAAGTCAAGCACACCAGTGATCCCAGCATACAGAAAAACATTTCCAATGAATCACTGCTTTTCCAACCGCCCATTCAAAAGTGTCAGGGACACGACACTAAGAATGGGTGACACAGATAAGAATGGGCCGGTTCCAGGTTGATAAAATGCCTGGGTTTGTTAAGCTCAGCAGCCCAACGAATCAGTTGTCAAATCTTTCATTCACAAAAACATCAGCAAAAGACAATAAACAAGTGATATCTTGGCAATGCCATTGTTAACAACAAACACAGTGGACCAGTTTAGGACTTGGACACACCAAGATGACATCAAAGAACTAGCAGTGGTAAAGGCCAACTGTTGTGTCACCTTTGTTGGGCCCAAAATGTGACCGTTGAACACACCACAAAGACTACAGCCAACTATCAACTAGCACGTACGTTCTGCATGAGAAATAACTCCATATCAGCAGGGAGTGGTAGTCTGTCATTCAAAAAGGGAATGAGGAAGACCTAGACTGAATCTGAGCCAAATATACAAACGGTAAACAAAGCAGCTCTCGCTTACCACAGATGGTGGATTCTAATTAAGAATACGTTTGAAAAGAAGCTGCTCGCAAATGGCACTGGCGTTGTCAGCCCTTAGTCTTTTGACTGTAGAAGAAGAAAGTCACAGGCCTTAAGCATTCCAAAATCAACAAAGCAACAGCAAAATGTAATATTTGTGAAAAACAAGGAATGGATGGTTGGAATGAAAGAAGTGAGCTTATCAGACCTCTGGTTCCTTGATAAAAGTCCTTATCCAGGAATAGAAACTACAATACTGTTCTACCTCCCTACAATGAAAAGCTGCAACTGTAGCACACATTGCAATGCTGACAAATTTGACAGCCAGCCCACATGGTGTAGGCTGAGAACATGCACAAGTCGGGGTGTTATATCCAGTGCAAGACAAGATCAAATGAATGATACTGAGAGGAGCATGGATGCTGCCAGCAGGATAAACTACCACTTTCCGTGGCTCGCTGCACTTCTTATTCCCCGCAACATCAATTCATTACTGTATCTCTACAATGAGAAAAGAACACAATAGTTTTAAATGCTTTTTCTGCCAACTAAAAATGACTGTGCCTAAGGCTGTGCTGTAAGGAGGGGGCATCTATTTAGTTCCAAACAGAATAACTTATTATACACACTGCGGTTCTAATTTGCAGACTGTCAACTGTAAGAGCGAGTGAATGCACCGGCAGTACAACTGTGAGCAACACAGTTCCAACAGCAGCTGTATATCACAGCCAGAGGCCAGCATGTCGAGCTTAACCACCGTGGAAGACTTCAGCCTCCATTGTCTGGTATTAAAACAATACAGCACATTAAAAGAAAGACCTCATCAGAATCTTATGGCAGCCATGGAGCGAAAGGCCGTTTCACTACAAATCAATGTAGTGAAATGAGGAAGGAGGTGGCAGAGAGAGGAGGCAGCAGACAGATAAGGAGATGGAGCTGGAGATTATGAAGAAAGGCCAACAAGGGAGTATGACTGAGCAGACAGCAATGGGACGTGGAATGAAAATATATAAAACCTACTGCTGCAGTTTGGTTAGCTATCGGGCCTCTTAATGACTGTTATATTATTTGCCTTTGATCAGAGCAGAGCTCTTTGTTTGATATTCTCAACCCAATCATCAGAGCACAATAGCTTCTCTTAACCAGGACAAAAAGTACAGTCAGCTCCACAGACATGCTCTTGTCCTAAAGCGCACTCTGTGCCTTAAATTAAGCTCTTTTCCTTTAGCAAAGTTCAGTGAGTAGTTCCACATGCCAAAAAAGAGAAAGCCTCAGAGGGGCTGTCTCATGAGAGTTAAGTGCCTACATTTCTGCAGTATAGTTGAACCTTAGGTGTAGTGCCCAGTACACACGTATATCTGTAGCAGAATAGCTCAAGGTGTCTACTTTGGGTGAGAAAGGTTTTCTGCTTGGCATGCATTAAAGTAATTACCTCAGGTGTCCCACAGCTTTGGTGCGGACCAGTGACAGGATGATGTAGTCGTTCTGCTGACCCTGGAACCTGTCCACTGTTGTCACCTGCATGGACACACAACCACATTCACTAGTGAAAATACACACACACACACACACTCAATACACATAAATATCAAAGATATGCTAACTAAGCTATGGCAGCTGATGTAAACTGCAAAGTAAATGAGTATGCATCTAAGGTACGCGGAGTGATTTAGTGAAAATGTTCAGAAACATGAGTGAGACTGCTTTTTTTGAGAGGAGAAAGCTGAGCGACAGTGCCTATGTTTATTTGTTATTGCTGTGGGCCACAGGGGCAGTCAGCGTGGCTAATACGGCTTAGAGGGCATTTGCTATCACTATCCTGGGCCCGTGAGATTCGGGGCCATGTTACTTGACTGGATCAGAGATTATTTCAGGAGACAGAATGGAGGAGAAGTGGTGCTCTGCTGAATTTGTTTTTCAAAGCAAAAGGAAACATATCAGTCAACCTTCTTTTATACCCTGGTAATACTGTCTTGCTGAAAAATGTACTTAACTGTGAACATGAAGAACAGCGCTGCATTTTGATTTGGCCCGTGCTGTCACCCCTCATATTATAAAGACAACATACTGCACTTGACTTGATACAAATCACAAAGCTAAGATGCCATCCAGTAAAAACTGAGCTCATAATTCAGATTACTAGCTCTTTATGTCATGCAGCCTATGTCATCAGTATCTGTGGCCAACATCAGTGCTGAACAACATATTAATGGACTACAAGTTATATACAATCATTCAATAACTCATTCTTTAGATCCATATTTGAGGGGGTCTTGCCTTTCATCAAGAATAATCTAACCAATGTCCTGTAGTCAGCTATCATTTTTTAGTTAATATAGCTTCAGTGATCTTGGAGCTCCCTTTGTTTAAAAAAGACAAAAAAAGAGTGCAAAGGGGCTAATGAGGTAGTAGACCAATATTTATTTTGGTCTTCCTGTTGCCATATAGCACAGGTGCAGCACCAGAGGCAACAATATGTTGGCTTTATAACAGCATGAGTTGTCAAGGGCTGCATGTTCAAGTAAAATGTTTAATGCTCAAGTCAAACAGCCATGTAAATGTATGGGCATGTAAATGTCCACACAACTGTGGTGGGGCAGTCCAGCAGTTCCTTTGTTGAAGTAGGCTATGACTGTGGACTTCAGAGGCTATAACTGCATGGTTTTAACTGTAACAGTGCACTTGTTTTGCTGAGAAAGGGAGCTTAAGAGGAGCTATTCTCAGCCCACAAACACTGACACTGAAGCCCAGACAGAGAATCTCCCCAAGGTGTTGTATTTTGCATGCTGTTTAGTTATTTATGAGAAATCTTAGAGAGGTCATGTCATTGTGGTACATGCATGTCTGGATACAAGGAAGCACACAAACACACACAAAATGTGATTTGAGCCATATATTTGTGCACATACACATGCATTTGTTTTCATTCCTTGTGGGGACTCTACACTGCCTTAATTTAATTTACTGGAGACATAAAGCACCCTAACCTAACCTTGACTAGCTGGTGCTAACTGGCCTTCTTCTCTGTCTAATTAAAGTCATTACAGTAAAGTGGGCTGGCTGTTGACATTTGCTTGGTTTTAGCCGTTATGACACACTGTCAGACACACCGTGGACCCAGCGCTCAATGCCACGACCTTTCAGCTGCTCTGAATTTTCCCACAAGAGCCCCTCTCATGTCACCCTTGCCATATTATTGCTGGGCATGCATACTGACTGAGGCCACAAGCACACAGAATGACACTTTGTGTGTTAACTTTGCAGGACATTTAACATGACCAGGCAAGCTGTCAGAACAGGGATCACTCTTGAAAGCAACAAGCCAGAGCTGCTTAGCAAAAACAGAAACACAACAACAGGGGGAGCGTTTCACACTCCAATGCTGCAGGTGTACATTTCCGATGAAAAGCGGTTATCCACTTCCTGTCTGCTTGTTAGACACTTAATTATTAGCTGCAATTTTTGTTTCATACATTACAGAGTAAATGTGGTGATATTCTGTGTTTTTATTACTGTTGAATATTCTATGAAGACCAAAATCAACAGATCCTACAAACAAAGGCTGATACACCCAAAGTGCCACAGACCTCTACTCTGTTGAAACACTGGGTGCACACTAGGTGACAGCTTCTTTCATTAGTACTATCAGTGGTCATTTGAATTGATCCCAAATACTCAGTACGGTGCCAGATGTGTATTTATCCATGGCTGAAAATAGCCTCACAAAACTAGGAAATCATTTTTGGAGCAAGTCTGCAAAAAAAACGGCTGTGCCCAGCTTATGAAATTGTTGAACCTTTAAAAGAAAAATCATAGTATACTGCATCTGTGTGACCCATTGTTTCAAAATGGGCCTTCATTAGTACATCTGTGTGACCCATTGTTTCAAAATGTGCCTTCATTAGTAACAAACTATCATAGTCACAATGTACTGAGAGAAGAGGTGACATATTGCCGATTTTGGTCTTTTTTGACAAGAAAAATACAGACTAACACTGGCTTATCTTTTCCACAAAATTCCCAAAAGATGTATAAAGAGAATTTAGGCTTGTATATGATTAGCATGACCAAATGACACCGCTAACATACTGCTGGAAACATCCTCTGTCATATAGATATATAATTGGCCAATGGGGAGAACCACAAGTTGACCACCTGTCACTATGGCACGATGACACTCAGAATGACTGGAAATATATTATTGTCACTCCTATCTTGCAGCTTTCTCTGGAATGCCTAAATAATCTGTGACATTGCTAAGTCTGTAAAAGGTTTACAGAATAAAAACCAAAGAAAGGTGAGAGAAAGGTGGGTAGGCAAAAAGGATGAGGACAGAAAAGCATAACCCGAGGCTGGCGGGTATAAAGCATTTAGCAGTACAAACAGAACAGGGATGAAAAACTGTGCCAGCAGGTTGCTGACTTAACACGGTGTAAAAGAAGGAAAAGAAGAAGAGGAGTTCAGGGCAAACAACTTGGGCTGGATGAAGACAACCACCTTCAGGGATGAACACAGCACAGTTTACACCCACTCTTCAACCATCCATTCTCATTGGAAATAATTTCCTAAAACACGCACACTCTTACACACAGCTCAGTGAGTGTTTCACACCCTTAACCTGAACTCACCCTTACCTTAAACCAAGATGTCACTAATGATTTACATGGTCAGCCTCCTTGTGCCGAGTCAACGCGATGTGAGTGTGTAAAGAGGTTTTGGTCTTCACAATGAGAGTGAAAACACACACACACACACACACACACACACACTGCTAGAAACCAGAGGATAAATTGGACACTAGAGAAGCAATCCAGCGCATGTTGAATGGCTGCCACAGCTGAACAAACACTGCATTAAACCCTGCTTTACACTCACAGAAACTTTACACTCATCACACACATAGATTTCACAGTACAAAGGTCTGCTCCTGTTTCCTTGGTTCATTTGCTAAAGCACTTTACATATTTAGGCTCAACACATTGATAGTTATGGTTCATAAGGATAAGATGCTTATTTAAATTCACATTTTCTTCTGTTTGAAAATGTCTCTTCTCCGCTACTATGCTTATTAGTCTAAGCTATTCTGTCCATAAGCCGTATTTTAAATTGCACACAATGGCATGGTAGGGTTGACTCTCAGGGAGTTTAGATTTATAGGTCTTGCTTCAGTGTGCAACCCTCTCTCACCTTCTGTCTCTTCCACCCTCGCCAGTCCTCATATAGCCTCAAGCCAGTGGCTCAAACTTCACTGAGTCTCTGGGTCTGGCCTTGTTGCTATGGTTACCGAGTTCTCTGGGGTGTTAGGGCATTAGATCTCATTAATGATTTTTATTCACATGAGGGAGACTAAGTTGGAAATGCCAACCAGATGTTTACTTAGATATTAGGCCTGTGGTTGGACATTTACATACACCTTGGCAAGTGTGCGTAAATGCAAAGGCCAACACTGCATGTATCACTCACTCGCTTTACAAATCAACAAACTCCTCAGTATGTGCACCCTTGTTGGTCATACTTTACGTCAGACACTGTTCCAACATCATGTTCCACCAGGAAATAGAACACATTATATTAAGGAAGTATACTGTAGACACCACTTCATTCAATATTTCATATCAAGATAGTTCCAATAAATCCCTAATTTCTGGATGGAGGTTGTTTTACAGTTTGGTTGCAGAAAAAAAGATAATGAGAAGAATTAACATGTAAAAGTTGCCAAGGTGTATGTAAATGTCCAACCACAGGCCTAATATCTAAGTAGACATCTGGTTGGCATTTCCAACTTAGTCTCCCTCATGTGAATAAAAATCATTAATGAGATCTAATGCCCTAACACCCCAGAGAACTCGGTAACCATAGCAACAAGGCCAGACCCAGAGACTCAGTGAAGTTTGAGCCACTGGCTTGAGGCTATATGAGGACTGGCGAGGGTGGAAGAGACAGAAGGTGAGAGAGGGTTGCACACTGAAGCAAGACCTATAAATCTAAACTCCCTGAGAGTCAACCCTACCATGCCATTGTGTGCAATTTAAAATACGGCTTATGGACAGAATAGCTTAGACTAATAAGCATAGTAGCGGAGAAGAGACATTTTCAAACAGAAGAAAATGTGAATTTAAATAAGCATCTTATCCTTATGAACCATAACTATCAATGTGTTGAGCCTAAATATGTAAAGTGCTTTAGCAAATGAACCAAGGAAACAGGAGCAGACCTTTGTACTGTGAAATCTATGTGTGTGATGAGTGTAAAGTTTCTGTGAGTGTAAAGCAGGGTTTAATGCAGTGTTTGTTCAGCTGTGGCAGCCATTCAACATGCGCTGGATTGCTTCTCTAGTGTCCAATTTATCCTCTGGTTTCTAGCAGTGTGTGTGTGTGTGTGTGTGTGTGTGTGTGTGTGTTTTCACTCTCATTGTGAAGACCAAAACCTCTTTACACACTCACATCGCGTTGACTCGGCACAAGGAGGCTGACCATGTAAATCATTAGTGACATCTTGGTTTAAGGTAAGGGTGAGTTCAGGTTAAGGGGAGGATAAGGGTTAGTCAAATAATGGTTATGGATCGGGTTTTGGTAATTCTCCAGGAAATGAATACAAGTCAGTGTAAAGTCACCACAAGCCATGAAAAACTTGTCAGTGAGTGAGTGATGATGGCGATCCCCTTGAGGAGCCTGGAAATGGAAACAGGCAAACAGAGCTGAGCTTCATGTGACCAAGTGCCTCAGGAAGAGCACATGGTCTGCATTTAAGAACAAAAAGAAGCTTCTGCAAATGGAAAATGTCCAACGCTGCACTAACATTCAGGAAGCACTTATGTGTTCACTGGCCACCCAGCTTATAACCAAATCAGTGTCTCAGCTGATTTATTTTTGTCTCATTTTTTTTAATAATCAGACAAATGACTTTTTACCTGACAAACTGCTGCTGGCTTTATTATGACTGTAGTCCTGGAAACAGCTTTTCTGTCCCGCAGGACCACTAAATACCATTAAATAATATGGCTAAAGTAACTGGTTTTGTATGTTTTACTGTTACTGTATATTTGACAACAACATTTGCTCTCCTGTGCTGATGAACTTTTTTTTCCCACACCACTACCATCTGCCTACACACAATCCCGAGTGTTTCAGCAATGTCATGATGAAACACAATCTGGCTCCTGGTATGGAGGACGAACACTGGCCTGTCCTGGGCAGCCAGTATTAGCTGCAGCCTAAGCAGAGTTATGACTATATCAGATGGACTCTGTTGACTAACTGAATCTCTACAATTTAAAAATGAATGAAGTGCAGTAAAACAACCACCTGAGAGGAAATGTAGGTTATGGAGGAACATGGTTCTTTGCTCTGGTGGAACTAAGTGTGCATGAGTGTGTAAAGAGGTTATAAATTGAGCTTGAAAATTGCCACATGTCTAATATGATGTACTGCTGTTTCCACATTGTGTACACATGTGCTACAGGTATGCTGAATACTGATGTTATATATTGGGTGTTCACAGTTCTCCAAATTGCATATGCACATTGGTCTGTGTGGCTTCGTGCTGTAGGAATGAGGGTCTTTACATTTGAAAGCATTTCTCTCCTTAATTTCAGCTAGTTTTGACCACACATTAGCTCTTTAATTGATTTTTATGTTGCTTTGGTTGTAGTCTTAAGTGATGTTATTGTCGTGGATTTCTAAAGTAGAATATATTTGCACTCACAGCTCTCTTAATACAAATAACGGTTGTGCTATGTGTGTATTGTATACCGTGGCATGTACCACTGACCTGGTAAAAGTAAGGATTGGGCTCAGATTCTCCCACTCCATTGAAGTCTTCCACATTAATTAGCTGGAAGTCAAATGTTAGGCCAGGGTTGGGCACCTGGAACTCTGGCAGTTGCTGGACATGAGGCAGGTTCCCCAGGTGTTTGTAGCGCCAGTTGTACAGGTTACACAGGCTGTGGGACAGGGAGACAGAACCACAAGTCACATTGCCGTTACTGCATCATTTGTAAAACTAAGTCTGTCAAAACAGATTGTAGCATTGTGTTCTGTCAGGGTGACACACCTTGCTCGTGCACGGCCCTGTGCATCCAGATCTATGGTGGGCACTCCTAGACGCACAAATCGGGTGAAGAGAGACTGCTCCATGTTGGAGTACTTCTGGAAGGCCATGTTCTTAATAACCGGAGGCAGCTGGTGATGGTCTCCAATCATGATCCAACGCTTCAGCCTGCTGTAGCCATCCTCCGGGTTCTGTAGAGAGAAAGAGAGAAAAAGGAGAAAAGACATAACACCACCTGTCACAGGGAATGTTTAAACTCAAATATAGAGGTCTATATTAGAGTAAAATAGAACTTTCACAGTTAGTTAATTAGATTTCCTTTGTAGTTATCAAAATAAAAGTCATGACCTATCAGTACATTACATGTAGCTCTTTGAATTAAAATCTAACATGTAAAGTCTAAAGGCAGAGACACACCAAGCCGACGGCCGGCTGTCGGTTTCACATTGGCTTGGTGTGTCCCTGCCCTAACCTACATATTTACATGTGTAATCTCAACTCACTACAACTACCCCGTTGTCTGCCTTTATCTAATGATGCTTTTGCCATTATGATAGTGTATCTGAAAGCAGATCTTGAGCAGACAAACACAATGTCCAGTGGGCAGTGAAGCATGAACAGCCAATACAGCCTGTATTTTATTTATGTCTTTGTCATGCTGCCAGATTTCACTAATTAGGATGTTAAGATGTTAGACAAATCTGAGCTCAAGCTTTGTAAACAAGAGCTTATTTTATCCCTGAAATCACAGATAAGGGTTGAATGACAGCTGGATAATGAAAGAGAAGTGAAGGTGATGGTCAGTATAACATACGGGCAGAAGGCTCAGACTGTGGCTCACTAGAGAGGCGAGGTAAAAAGAAGCTCTGGTGAGGTGGTTTGATGGACTGACGTGCTTAATGATCTCATCTGTCAATAGACATTAGCACTATCACGGACAATTAGGTGCAACTACCAAAGACAAGCTAATTTACTATGTTTGGAGACCATCCGTTAAGCCTTAACAGAGAAAGTTAGGCTAAAGAACAGACGTGGAGTTAATGATTAAAGTCCACTTGATGTGGGAACTTATGGTAGTACTTAAGCACGGCAGTTCATTTTCAGGCAGGGCATAGCTGAAGTCGTCGTACATTAAAGTTTAACTTTTAGGACATAAACAGGGCAAGGTTACCTGTAACAACAGAGGGATGAAGGTCTCAATCTCCAAAATCTGAGCAGCTTCTTCCATCAGGATGTTGTCATACTAATAAAGAAAATGAGCAATTTAATAAAAATACTTAAAAGTACCTGCAGTAAATACAAGTTTAACTAAGCTGTGAAGTCTTTGTGTCAGCTGACAAAAATCTACCTTAAATCCCAGTTCCACCAGGTCGTGACGTTTGAGTGCAGCGTGTGTACAGGTCATAGCAATGATTTTGGCTTCCTTCACTAGCAGATACTTGGAGCGGTCCAGGCCACTTCTCAGCAGCTCAAAGGCCCTAAATTCCTTTTAGGATATAAAAGCAGTTTTGTTTTTAATTTTCTCACTCTGAGGTTGTGAGCAGAAAGTTTAATGGTCATTGGAAGACAACAGTGAAAACCTGATGGATGATTAATGAGAAAGAAATTGGATATGGACATTATCTAAAGTGAAATAACATCTTCAGTGGAAAAAAGGGAGGTGCATTTCAATATTCTGAAACACAGCAAATACATGAGTGTGTCTACCAACATTCAAATAAATAGCTCTAACAGATCCAATTGTCACAACCTTTGATTACTTGGAAATGACCTTAGGTTGAGGAGCATTTTACCACAGATGTTCTTACATGGCTTATTCTTGAATGGAAATGTTAGCACCAGTTTTTACCAAAAGTGAAAAAAACAAACATAACAAATACATAAAAACAAAACAAAACAAAACAAAAAAACCCCACTACTCAGTTCAGTGCAGATATTGTGAAAACCACACTGTCAGGCAAGCAGAGAGGGGGAAGTAAGCATGCTATTTTCAGCTTGCCACACTAGCTGTGAAGCAGCAAGGAAGGGAGAGAAGGAGGGAGAACTGGAGAAGCGGACTCACACGGCACTGGGGTATAAATATTTGATGTGTTACTATTTTAGCACTAATATTAAACCAATGAAAACATGCAATATTGATGAGATCTATTTTTAACTCCCATGGCTCCAGAGTGATTAAAGGGTGAACTCAAGATGGTAAAGATTCACAGACAATAAGAAGAGAGAGTGAAAAATTATAAACAAAAAGTAGTCAACAGTGGCACAGATGCGATGGGGCTGCAGAGGACGAAACAGGAGATGTCCATTGAGGAGGAACCTAGGAGTCACACTGTGTCCCTGCTTGTCTAGCATTCTCAGGACATGCCTATGACAGCTCAGTCCAAACTGCTTTTACATTTGAAAAGGCAGACAGATGAGCAAATTCAGCAAGATGTTGCTTCCGCTACCCTGCACCACAGACAGCGATACCTATTAATGGGTATACCGATTTCACTGCAGCATGGGTGAGGCTGAGGGAGGAGGGAGAGGTGCTGCGATGCAGTGATACAGAGGCCAGCCAGATAAATCAAGGTCACCACGTGTTAGGATATTACCCTCCAGCAAATAACTTCTTTATTGCTTTTTGGAGACCTTGGTGTTCCCATAAATCTGAAATGCTATTGTTATACCTATTGAAGTAATCGATGGGTTGAGAGGAATGATAACACACCTTCAGCTGTGAGTGTGAAGTGTGAAAAAGAACGAGTAAAAAAGATGAGCAGTAATAGCTGCCGTCATGTTGTCGTGCTGTTCATCTTTTCAAAGGTGTCAGTCAGCAAACGTGCCAATGGTTATACAATAAAGGCACAGTTATGTATCTTATATAATGATTCATTATCAAGTCACATAAAGAAACAGGTGATGACTAAAGCTCAGAGATGCAAAAGTGACAGAAGTGCTACTCATCAGCAGACACCATCAGTGTCTGATCATTCGCCGTTCATCTATACAACTTATCAGTATGGTGGTAAGGAAGGCACAGTTACACGTGCATGAGGGAATGTAAAACACCTGGACACACAGCTGGCAAACAGCCTGTGAGCAACATCAAGTATAGCTGACATAGTCTGGGTGTGTGTTTGAGTCAAAGAAGAAAAGCACTTTAGTTCAGTACCTCATTGTGAGGACACTTCAGCCTTGTGAAAAGTCTTTGAGAGTTAAGACTTGGTGTAAGGGTTAAGATTAGGGAAAAGGTTGGTGCTAGGCATTTGGTTGTGATGCTTAAATTTAGGCTAAGGGGCTGGGGAATTCATTATGTCAAGTGAGTGACCTCACAAAGAAGGACTAATGTGTGCATACTTTATATGTGGTGTGTGAGTCACCTTCTTACCTCCAGTTGGGTAAATATTTTCTTGATGTGGCGGTAGCAGCCCTCTGCAATGTCCATGTCCTCTTCATAAGACCGTCCCTTGAACACAGGCTGGGGGGCGTTGGAGAAGTACTTGTAGTGTGTAGCTACAGCCGCCACCTCCACTTTCCTGCCCTGCTTAGGCCCAACTTTGCTCATGTACTCTTCCCAGCGAGATATCACCTATAATGGGGAGGGAGAACAGTCACAAACCGCTCTCTGAATGCAGCCCAACAGTGACACTGCATGTTTGGTGTATAGCTGAGAATCCCTGTGGCTTGTAAGCATTTGGGTTCTATGCGTTTTGTGACAAAACACAAATACAAAACTGACCCAAGATTTTCTGGCACTAAGTCTATAAAAGGTGGAGTGGATTGGTATGCATGGCTCATAGTTTTTGTACAATTATTTGACAAAGCTTCTGAAACATTGCAAGGGAGAGCAGACGTTTACTGCTCCTTTTGTCTGTTCTACAATTTTTCACATCTTCTACATTTTCAAGTCTTTGAACAAATTCTACAACTATTAAAATGCCTCCAAGAGGGAAAAGAGCTAATAAATCAGAAGCGAACGAGGATGTTGAGGCAGAAGAGGATTATATTTCAGCGGCGCAAGTAACAGAGATGTT